CTGCCCGCGCTGAGCGCCCCCCTGTGCGCGGCCCAGGGCGGCGGCGGCGTATTGTATGAACGAGGCGGAGCTGGTGGAGGTGGCCTTGGCAGTCCTGGCCGAGGTGAGCCGGGACCTCCAGGACTTGGCCGTACGGGAGCGCGGGCGGGCGGCAGGGCTGCGGGCGGCCCCTCTCCCGGGGGCGGGTCGGAGGGCCCTTCCGGGTGTAGCAGTTTTCCCGGTCCCCCCTCTCGATCCCAGCTGCGCAGCCCTTGCCGGGCGCTGCAGGGCAGAACCAGGCTCCACTGCGGACCTGGGACCTGGCGAGGGCTGTCCCGCGGGATGGTGGGCTGCACCCCCTACTCCTTGGGGTGCTCCCGGGGTGAAGTCACGCACGGCCGTGTTTGTTTGTTTTCCCTTTGGTCAGAATCTACAGTGCGAGGAAAGTGAAGAGAAGGCCCGGTCTGGGAGCAGAGAGGAGCAAGAGCTCCAGCCAACACTAAACGAGGCTCCTGGGAGCAAGGCCAACGCGGGGGAAGGCAGCGACCACAGTGCGGCGCTTCCATCCCCTTCTGGTGCTAGTGCTGGTGCCGAGACACACAGCGCAGGCGGGGAGAACTCTGAAGACGACGTTCTGAAATATGTCAGGGAGATCTTTTTCAACTAACATCTCCTCTGTGACTCTCCAGGAGTAGAGGGGACAGTGGGGCGAGTGTCCCTTCCCATGGTGCTGAGGACAATGGGAGGAGGGCCTGGAGCAGGCTGTGTATCTGCTGTGTTGGTGCCCTGTGGAGCTGGTAGGATACCCATGAAAGCCAGGGAGGGGAAAGGAAGGAGGCACTCACTTCACCTAATCCATGCTGGGTTCAATGGGATTTGGCTCCAGATTAGGATGTGTTCATTTCTGTTTGGCATCTCAGAGCATGGACAGATTAAAGAGGACATTCTGGTTGCTGTGAGTGTCCTTTTGGTGGGTCAGTGTTGGGACTGGAAGGGAGCAGGGAGCTGCTGATTTGGAACGCCTTTGCTGGCTCTGCAGAGCTGCAATAGTCATGGTTCAGCCTTGTGGGCTCCCTTGTCCTTGTGGTCCCTCTGTGACATCTGCAGTGGGGGTTGGCAGGCTGTCCACATTGGACCTGATGCTAAATTTGCCTCCAGACTCCCATCAGTCCTCCCATGGCTGAGGAAGACATGAGTGGGAGCAGATTGGCAGGGCTGGGACTGTCCTGAGGGGGCTGACCCCATGGCAGTGTGCATGGGGCGATGAGAAGGGATGAATACCCCTCAGTATCCTCTTCCCAATCCAAAAGGGAAATGAACAAACCACATGAGGCCAGGTGTGAGAGCCTTTATTGAAATGAAGAATCAGTCAAACTACCATCACCAGCCACATCCCCACCAAGGCTGAAGCAGGAAAGAAAACATACCCTCATGTCCCCAAAGGGGATGGGGGCAAAGCAGGTGTTTCTTTGTGCAAGGTTACAGACATGGCATGGAGACTCCATCCAGTGCTCTGGCTATGATGGCCTAGCTGGGGCACTGCACCCCAGCCTTTTGGCAGCCTTGGCCCTGCTCCCTGAGCACACCCTTGTGTAGTGTGTCCTGAGCTGGCTTTGTGGTGAGCTGCCCTCACACAGAACCACTTCTTCTGGAGTCTCAAAGGTTGCTGAGGTGCTGGGCTCAGCACCATAATATCAGTGGGGACAAACCTGGGACTCTGCACCAAAATCCTCTGCTTCCTCATGGAAACCCTCCTCACTGGAGCTCTGTGGATCAAATTGTTAGGCTGCCTCTCCAGGTGCTCTGCTGCTTCTGGGGTTGGATGTGGGGCACATTGCCCCAGTGAACTAAGGCAGTGACTCCAGATACTATAGCGGGTAAAGTACAGGTGCTCCTGCTGAAGAGAGTATTTTCAGTGCACCTTCGAGGCTGCTACTGCTGTGATGGCAGCGTAAAGCCACAGCTACTCGTCACAATTACCTTGAAGGCATCCCTGGTTAGTCCTGGAGGTGGAGAGGGAGCAGATTCTCTGGGCAACTCCAAGAAAGGAAGCCTGTTTCCTTCTCTGCTTGCCTGTACTTAAGCTAGATATTAGCTTAGGACAGAGGACTGTGTCCACTGTATACTGGTTCTGATCTCTTCACCACCCTTTGGGTCAGGGCCAGAAGTGCTGTTGCTTTGATGCTGTGCCCCATACTAAGGGGTGTTACACACTGTTGTTCCTGGGAAGCTTCTGTGGTACACTGTGGCTGTTGGTGTCTGCTGCCATCTTGACAGGAGTGCTGCACGCAGCAATATGCCAGAGCATGGCTGGACATGAGCCTTTGGACTAAGGATCAAGTTCTTGCCAGTGACTAAAGCTGCATTTGCATTACTAATTTAAATCAGGTTAATGATAGCTCTTGCATCTTCTTCACTGTCAAATCTCAGTGGGCAGGACCTTCTCTGTAAAAGGCCTTTGACACTTATGTATGTACTTGACCCAGCTGAGGTACATAGTGGCAGTGAGAATCTGAAGCAGCAGCAGAGCCTGGGTCCCAAGCAGTGCCAGGAAGCCCCCAGTGAAATCAGAGGGGTGAATCCACTGTGAGGTTTGTAAAAGAAACATACCCAGGCCTCCAGACAGGATTATCATCTGGATAAAGAGTATGATGAGGATCATCTTCCACCCCTCTCTCTGCTCTGTGCACTGCACATTTACAACAAAAAGGGGGTAGAAGATGCTGAAGACCAGGCAGGTATACACACAAACCCTGGCTAGCGCTATTTCTGGTAGGCTGATGCCCATTGCCTGTAGATGCTTGTAGTCCAGGCACTGCAGCTCCCCGGCTGTCTCATTCCACAGGCAGAAGTTGTAGAAGCCAATGCGTTTGTCAGGGAGGTCAACCAGGTTTCCAGCTTCACACAGCAGTGCGTAGACCATCAAGGTCAAGGTCCCAGCAGCCTCAAGGAGACTCAGCACATAGAGCAGGTACCCTGAACACCTCTGTTGCAGCAGACCCATCCTGGTGCCTGTATGCTTTCTTGGTGCCATGGAAAAGCCTGCTGTGGGGATGCCTGTTGCAAAACACAAAGGGGGGGAACCCCTCAGTTGTTGTCTATTATGGCTCCTTTCCCAAGATGTGCTCTGAGCCTGTGTAGCTGGAGTCTAGGACTCCCCTTGCAGATAGAACTGAAGCATCTCAGTCCTGCCTAGGACTGTGCTGCATGTGTTACTGGGTCGAGGGGGGTGCATTAGGTGCATTTTTTGTCACAGCAAAGGTGGCTTAATGATGTCCTGTGTGTGGACCAGCACTGGGAGGATGGTGTGACTCAGCCCCACACATGCCCCTTGCACCATATTGTTCTCTCATATTGAACAGAGAGGCACTTGTCAGCAAACTGCAGTGATGGGAGGGGAGCAAAACTGCTGTCTGATAAGAAGGGGGTTTAAAGCTATGTTGGGAAAATGCTTTTCTTTCAGTTTTGGTCAGACAAAGACAACCCTTGTGATCTTTGGACTACTGAGTAAAAGAAGGAGGAGTTAAGAGCTATTCTGGGAAAATGCTTTTCTTTCAGTTTTGGTCAGACAAGGACATCCCTTGTGATCTTTGGACTACTGAGTAAAATGCAGGTATGACAGGATCTGAACTGCAGGGCTCCCCTTGCTTCCCTCCCCCATCCTATAGCTCTGGGACAGTCAGTGCCATTGATGCCACCCTTTTCCAGCACCTGAGCTCCACTTGCACCTGAGGTCCTTGCACGCCCATAGATTTCTGAGCACACCAGGACTGATTGCCTGCAGCTCTGCTCCCACCACTGAGGCTGGCAGACATGGTGCTCCTCTGTCCTGGTTGCCTGAGGACCAATGCCCTACACAGACAGACCGTTGTCCAGCTCAGAGAGGCATGGATCAACCTGCAGCCACTTGCCCTCCTCTGAGGCCCAGGGACATGGGTGCTACTGAGACAGACCTGTGATTGCCATCCTCTGTGCTCTTCTCTCAGACTGCTTGGCAAACCCGAGGCTGCTCCTCTCCCAGAAATGTGAACTGTCCTCAGTGCCCTCTTGCAGGCTTCTGCTTCACACTGAAAAACAGGGAAGTGGCATCAGGAAGAGGTATCACTGGCTGCAGATCCACATGGCATCGCAGCACAGACCACCCAGATCAGCAAAGAGGCACAAGCAAGACAAAGAACTTGAAGATCTTGGCTTCAAGCTCAGCCTCTGGCTCGAGGCTTTGCAAATAACTCTTCCCCCCTTTGACAAGCATTATCTCCTGAGAATCATTCACCACTTTCCTTCAAAAAGTTCACATTGGTCCCGCTGTCCCCCCTCCGTTGCCTGTTGTCTAGTGGTATATCATCCTGATGTCCTAGATGTTCTCTAGGCCTTCACCCAAAGCTGCTTTTGGATTTGGTGCAGCCCAGCCTCTGAGTTTTTAGAGCAGCAGGAGAGACTCCACTAAATTTGTACCCAGTGCCTGGCTGCAGTGCTGGTGACTAGAGACCCTTCAGCATCCCACTCCCAGTCCCAGTCTCTCCCTGGATACTTGGAAGTGGGCACCTCTGTTTAATGAGCACAGAGATAAAGCTTCTCTATCCCAAACTTCTCCACACAGTCATGGCCAGGAGCAGCACACACACAGCATGGAAGGGGGTCACAGCATCAGACACCAACCTGTTCACTTCCCCTGATCACTTTTCCCTCACTTCTTGTAGCTTCCCTTGGAGGTCTTCTTCACAACAGGCTTCTGGAGAGACTGGAAGGTCACATGGAGTTTGCCCATTGTTCTGAATCTACAATGAAGACACAAGCAACCAGGAAAATATTCATGCTTGAGCACAGAGTGTGCTGCAGAATGAGACCTCAGGAACATGTAATTTCACCGTGGTTTGTCTTGCCCCTGATATTGCCCCTTGATTTGTCTGTCTAACATATGGTCTCCTGCAGCCAGGCATTGCTGCTTTTCCTCTCCCTGTTCCACAAGGGCTCACACCATCCACTGTTCTCCCTGCCTCACAGCCATCAGAACAAGCTGCACTTGGAAGGGACTCTTGGTTAGCTGACCAGCTCCCCAGGGATTTCTGTTAGACCTCAGAGCTGGGACCAGTACAGCCCAGCCAACTCCTGACACCAATACTTGCTGTCATATTTCTTTAGACTGACTTCCTTATTCCTAAGGAAGCTTGTAGAAATACAGGCTTTTTGTTCAATCATCTCATGTTTACTCCCCCAGCATCCATAAAACATAAAAGCTATTAGAATTGTCCTACTTGCACATATTTACTAGAGAGGGGACAGAGAGTTAAATTCCTAGCAGGTTTGTGGATATATATGGCACAGGTAGAGGACAGCCACCTCAGAGACCCTGGGCTGCTGTGTGATCTCTGCATCTATGAGGGCCTGGGGAAACCCCATGGTATCTCTGCCCTCTTTTTTTCTTTGAGGCTCATATCTATAAGGACATATTTTCTTTTCCCAGTGATGCCACTCTGTTCATTGTCAAATTTCAGGCAGCTTTGCCCCTCATCTTCCTGCTGCCTCTCTAGCCAGCCCAGCAGGTAAATCCCTGTCCCTAGGTGTGACTGTGACAGGGCCAGAAACATGCCTGGAGTGGGTGCCTTGTGCCAGCTGGATAGAGAACACATGGCTGGCCTAGAGGCGATGTATCATTTGGCAGTGAAGACTGAGACCTGGCACCCTGCCACCAGTGCAGCCGCAAGCACGGCATTTGTGAGCTCTGCAGCTCATTCTTTGGTGGCAGCCTGGCTGAGAAGCAAGGAACAAACAGGAAAGAGCTGTCACCCAGGGTACAGCTGGGGTTTTTCCCAAACATCTGCAGCCTTGCCACCTCTAAGGAGGTGCCCATGCCTTTGGACAGGAGACTCTGTGGCTCTTCCTCAAAGGTACAAAAAAGAGAAATCAAAGCATGGCACAGCAAGCCTCAGCCTGGATTCAGCCTCCTTCTTT